AAACAGCTTGTAACTCTCCAAAGACAAAGAAAAACTTAAAGTTTCATCATATGACCCATTTAAACATACTGTTTTTGCTTATCCAAAAAGAATGCATGTAGGACGGGGACTTTCTATCTATTGGTTGAGAACTGTTGCACTCAAAATTAGAGGCAGATCTTACTGTAATGTGATCTTGCTGTAGCTGTAATTTAATTACTCTTTTTTTTTTTTTCTCAGTAACTGCAATGGATTACAGTTCCATTTATTTTGTAATTATTTAAATTATATAAAGTCATTACATGTAACTAGTTACTTCCCAATACTGTATGTATATGCCTCTTCATTTTAGAGCCACGGCCATTCTTGCTTATCTACCTCAAGAGCTGCTGGGCACGTCATTCTATGAGTATTTCCATCAGGATGACATCGGACATCTTGCTGAATGCCACAGACAAGGTAACATTAGAGCAATGCTTTCCATAAAGTGTAGCATGCATGGCCAGATTTCTGTGGCTGACCTCGCAATCTGTATGTCTCTGTTTACAGTGCTGCAGATGAGAGAGAAGATCAACACTAACTGTTACAAGTTCAAGATTAAAGATGGCTCTGTTATAACTTTAAGAAGTCGCTGGTTCAGTTTCATGAACCCTTGGACCAAAGAAGTAGAATACATTGTTTCAACTAATACAGTTGTCTCGTAAGTGCACAAAACCTCTAATGATAAAATACGTTGTCATAATGTTCTGATGGTTTGGTTTAGTAAATTGAATGGCTGTGTTTTCAGAAGCAGTTCTCTTGATGGAGCAGAGCCTGGTTATCCTCAGCTCACGGCCTCCCCCCAGAGCATGGACAGCATCCTTACAGCTGGTGACGGTAGGCAGATCTCATTTACTCTCCACATCCTAACACAACAAATAATCTAGTGACTGTTAAGGCATGTCCTAACCAGACACAACAGGTTACCTGCGACAAGTCATTTTTCAGTTCAACATCACAGCCGATCAGAAGACATATTTAATTGTAGGATTTTGAACCAATAGGATTTCGCTGTTTGGGTTTACCCAGATAATACAGGACAAAACAATACAAATAATTAAATTTCTTACCTAACACCCCCCTCCCCCATTTTTGTTTGCATAATTAAAAATGATATTAAGCATAAAGAAATTGCCTATGGGGTGTCATTATTTTTATGACATTTAAAGCACATATTTCCTCTAAATTCTTAATTCTTAAAAAAAAAAAAAAAACAGTTTATATTGAAGAAATTAATGTTTTCATCATACATTTAAGTATTTGATTCACTGATTCAACAAATACTACTTTCATGTGTTTACATGAAGTGAAAGGAAATTGTGAAAAGAGCCTTTGGAAATATGGGGCACAATTAAGCACAAAATTCAATTAGAATCGTAATATTATTGATTAAAATTTAAATTGACCCCAAACGTTTGAATGAAAATGTATCACAGTTTCTGCATCGTTAAAGAAGATTTTTTTTTTTTTTAACATTAATGGTGATACATGTTTCTTGAACATCAAATCAGCATATTAGAATAATTTCTGAAGGATCATGTGACACTGAATACCAGAGAATGTTGCTGAAAATTCAGCTTTGTCATCAGATAAATAAATTACATTTTATAATATATTAAAATAGAAAACAAGGTCACACTTTATTTTATGGTCCAATTCCAAAAAAAAACATTAATTACGACTTTTGCCTCAATAAACTCCTAATTTGCTGCTTATTAATAGTTGGTAAGGTAGTTGTTAAGTTTAGGTGTTGGGTAGGATTAGAGATGTAGAATATGGTCATGCAGAATATGTGCTTTATAAGTACTAATAAACAGCCAATATGTTAATAATAGGCAAGTGTTACCAAAAACAATAATGTTTGGCCGTTTTTACTGTATTTTTGATTGAATAAATGCAGCCTTGGTGAGCATAAGAGACCGCTTTCAATAACATAAAAAATCCTTTAATAGTATTTCGGTGGCCTTTTTAAATGTACTTCTACAGGCTCTGGGAAAACTGTCCCTGGAATCCCTGGAGGCACAAGACCCGGAGCAGGAAAGATTGGCCGCATGATCGCTGAGGAAGTGATAGAGATACAAAGGTGAGCTGATCGGTTTACACAGTTCAAGTGGAATAATCTGAAATCGAGTCATGATCTTGGTGACACTGCAGCTGGTTTTACCTGTTATTGATATGATTGACAGGATCAGAGGCTCATCTCCCTCTAGTTGTGGCTCAAGTCCCCTCAACATCTCCAACAGCACACCCCCTCCTGACACATCCTCACCGGGGAGCAGGAAGGTAACGTTTGTGCTTCACTTACAGGAACACTATGACCATATGATTCTCATGATACAGAAAACATGGGCAGAATCATCAAATTCCTTCATAACAATTAAATGTAGAGTAAAGAGGAATGTCACAGAAATTGGCAAATTTTGGATGAGTAAATATAATAGGGCTGTACATTTAATCAAATCACGATATGGACTAGTGTCTGTGAATGTAAAAGCAAAAAAAAAAAACCTGCTATTGTAATCAGCATGTTCTGTCCGTCTCAGAGTGAATGAGCGGCACAGTTTTGTCTACTACTGTACACATACTAAAACACACATGATGCTTGTGGTGTTTTCAGTGTCTGTCGTCTCACTATAAGAGGTTCATCTTAAGAATAAAAAACTTGTATACATCTGGGTAAAATTAGGCTAAATGATGTGAGAATTCATTTTTGGGTGGAGTATCACTTTAAGGTTTAGACTCATAGACAAACATATTTAGATGTACAGAAAGTTCATGTAACGTTACATTAATGTGATCATATCAATCTAATAGCATCTGATATTTTCCCTAACTGCTCAGATTTCAAACAGTGGAAGTCCAGACGTACCTTCAGCAGGGATGGTGTCGGGCCAGGACAGCATAGGATATCCTTACTCTAACAGCTCGGGTTTAAGTAAGTTTTAAAGGTGATCTGATCACCGATTGGTCAGTGTTGCTTTTGAACAGTTCACAATACCGTCTCTGATCTGCAGGTGATCAATCACACATCTGTATCGGTGACATCATGGACGAGCCGGGCTCCAGCAACGATGAGGCTGCCATGGCCATCATCATGAGCCTGCTTGAGGCGGACGCAGGTCTGGGAGGTCCCGTGGACTTCAGTGACCTGCCCTGGCCTCTGTGAGAGCCCTGAAGGAGACCTTCTCCCAGTCCTAACGGGGTACGACATCAATCCATCTCACTCGCGTTCAAAACCAGCCATGACCCTGACAGTCAACGCATGCGGACAGTTTTTTGGTGACGTTACGTTTGTTTTTGACACGGTGCCTCAGGTAGCTCCACCCACAGCAAAATCTCATTGGTCCACAGCCTCATTCTACAACTGTGTCAAATGAGTGATTTCGTTGTTTCAGTTTCATTGAGGACAAAAGATTCTATAGCACCTGGTTGGAACACAATGTTAGATCGCTCAACATCTTACAACACCCGTTATCAGTGCTGGTACGGTGAATAAGGGCACTGTTTCAGTCTACGGAATGTCAAACAACTAAATACCACAAATCCTGTTGGGATGCTTATTAAAAATCAAATGTGTATCATAGATATGTGTATTCTAACATGTACAAGTATTTTATCTGAATGCACATGATTGAAATGAACCGAAAGGGCAGCAATATATATTTTAAAATAAAATATATATACATTTCTTTCCCTTTACATTGTTATTTTTTTCCGTACCCATGATTCATGTAGAAATTGAACAGTCTTTTAGTCCTTCCGACTGAAAAGGTTTGAAGGTGAGACCCACCGTGTCATATTTTCACAACTTGTTAAAGACACTGATCTAGCAGTTGATAATTCAATGAACTGCAGTACAGTAAATAGTAAATGCTAGATTTAAGGTTTAGTCAGTATTTTAGCTATAGTGTTAGATCGCTGTTTGTTGTGTACTTTAAGTACCTATAGCACCAATGTACTTATGTTACAGTAACTTGGCTCAGCCTGATAGTCTCTTGAGTTTTATGTAACAGTATTTGACCATGTATTTATGTTTATGTGTGTTTTGATGACTTTCAGAGAGTGATCTACACAATAATTGATTCCCTTACTTGTCCAACCAAAATAGAAAGAATTTGGGGATGATTACTCAGGATTTTCTCCAACATCAAATATTTTCAGCTTGTGTATGCTATTGTTTTTTGTTTTTTTGTGTCTTTGGCCATACTGGTACTGATTCCACCATTGTCTCCATTGGTAAAGCATGAAAATAATCTCCTGTTCCACCAAATCTTAAAGGGATAGTTCACCCAAAAATGAAATTTTTTTCCGTACCCATGATTCGCGTAGAAATTGAACAGTCTTTTAGTCCTTCCGACTGAAAAGGTTTGAAGGTGAGACCCACCGTGTCATATTTTCATAACTTGTTAAAGACACTGATCTAGCAGTTGATAATTCAATGAACTGCAGTACAGTAAATAGTAAATGCTAGATTTAAGGTTTAGTCAGTATTTTAGCTATAGTGTTAGATCGCTGTTTGTTGTGTACTTTAAGTACCTATAGCACCACTGTACTTATGTTACAGTAACTTGGCTCAGCCTGATTGTCTCTTGAGTTTTATGTAACAGTATTTGACCATGTATTTATGTTTATGTGTGTTTTGATGACTTTCAGAGAGTGATCTACACAATAATTGATTCCCTTACTTGTCCAACCAAAATAGAAAGAATTTGGGGATGATTACTCAGGATTTTCTCCAACATCAAATATTTTCAGCTTGTGTATGCTATTGTTTTTTGTTTTTTTGTGTCTTTGGCCATACAGGTACTGATTCCCCCATTGTCTCCATTGGTAAAGCATGAAAATAATCTCCTGTTCCACCAAATCTTAAAGGGATAGTTCACCCAAAAATGAAAATTCGGTCTGGTACTGATTCCACCATTGTCTCCATTGGTAAAGCATGAAAATACACTCACTGGCCACTTTATAAGGTACACCTATACCTAGTGCTGGGTTGCCTTCAGAACTGCCACTGTTCTTCTTGGCATAGATTTAAGGTACTGCAAACGTTCCTCTAAGATTTTGGTTGATATTGACATGATATCATCACACAGTTGATGCAGATTTGTTGCCTGCACATCCATGATGTGAATCTCCTGTTCCACCAAATCTTAAAGGGATAGTTCACCCAAAAATGAAAATTCGGTCATCACTTACTCACCCTCGTGTCGTTCCAAACCTGTGAGTTGCTTTCTTATGTTGAACACAAAAGTTTTTTTTTTTTTCCTACTATGGAAGTCAATGGCAACCACCAACTGTTTGATTACCAGCAATCTTCAAAATATCTTCTTTTATGTTCAACATAAGAAAGCAAATCATACAGGTTTGGAACGACATGAGGGTGAGTAAATGACGACAAAATTTTCACTTTTGGGTGAACGATCCCTTTAAAAGTGCTCTACTGGATTGAGATCTGGTGAGGCCATTTGAGAATAATGAACTCATTGTCATGTTCAAGAAGCTAGTTTGACGGTATGTTTTGTGGCTAGATGTAGACATCACAAGATGGGTTCACTGCTTATAAAAGGATGGACATTGTCAGCAACAACACTCAGATTGAGGTGCTTATTAAATAGTGCTCAGTTGGTTTTAAAGGCCCCAAAGTGTGCCAAGTAAATATCCACCACACCATTACAGCACCAGCAGCAGCCTGATCCATTGATACAAGGCAGGATGGATCCATGCTTTCGTGTTTTTGTGCAACAAGTGGTCATTTGAGTTTCTGTTGGCTTTTAATCAGCTTGAACCAGTCTTGGCATTCTCCTCTGACTTCAACAAGGCACAGAACTGCAGGTCATTGGATGTGTTCACTTTTTCGGATTACACTCTATAAACCTTAAAGATGGTTGGGCATGAAAATCCCAGTAGATCAGGAGTTTCTGTAATACTTAGACCAGCCTGTCTGGCACCAACAACCAATGAATTGGTTTTGACAAAATTCTGTCATTATATTTACCCTCATGCTAAACCTTGCCCTTGCTTGTAGCTTTCAAATCAAATATGGCACCTTTCGTCTAGAGGAAGACTGATCGACAAATATTTGGCCATTACGTCTAGACCCAGTTCTACGGACTCTACTTTGTGAATGTATAGCAGGCCATTTCTGACTTCAAATTTGTAATGCATTTCAAGTAAATGTTGTGAAAAAAGTGATCATTTCATTTGATCAAATTTGTGTGCATCTCATTGGCTATTAGTACATTTCGGCAAATCAGATATACAAATAATACGTTTTTATATATGTCAATATAATGTTAGATTTGAATACAATAACAAAAAATCTTTGAATAAGCAAAAACGTCAAACCTGATAACTGTTGCCATATTTGATTCATTGCTACTTCAGAGAATACAATTTTTGGGGTAAACTATCCCTTTAAATTGTTAAAATGAGATTGTACCTATTCATTCGAATATGAAATGTTGTAAAAATAGTATGAAAGACAAAAGGATTCTGACCTTCGATACCCAGTCGAATTTTCTTCAGTCCTCGCTCTTTTAAAACTGATTTGGCTACATCACGGTTTTCAATGTACTTGAAGAAACGATAGAGTTTTGTACTGTAGATAACTAAAAGGGGAGAAAAAAATATATATATTTGCTGAAGCTTCAGAAAAACAATGCAGATGCAATGAAATTTTGGCAACCAAAAATAGATCACATTCTTTTTGGCAACTCGCACTTTTCAAAACTGTTTTTGTCTACTGAAAGTATTTTTCGTAAAGATGTTTCGGTCTGTTGTTAAACAGCAGTACAGTCCATTGAACACTGTGCTTCTGTCTCTCACAACCTTGTTTTTATTCGTATCAAAAATTAAATAAGCCGCCAACCTGGCTGAGGTCTATAATCCCAATAAGCTCAATAATTGCTCAGATTTCAACCACAAGACGTCACTAAAACAGTTGGTAAAAAATGTCATGTAACGTTACATTTACAGAAGGATGCTATTCAATGTCCAGTTTATTAATTGGCTAAAAAATAACTCTAAAGAGGAGCATTTTGCTAAACAGATGTACTATACTACATATTCATTATATTTTACTTAACATGTTGTCTTCATTAATGTATGCTCAAATAAATCTTTTAATAAAAATATATAATTACAGCCACCGTTTAAAAGTGTAGATTTCAACCATGAATTGGAGTACATAATTATATAACTAAAATATTGATATAAAATTTCCTTAGGTGTGACTTAAAATTGTTCCGTTTTTATTTGGAGTGCTGATATTTAAATACATTTGATTACTTATTTGATTACTAAAGAAACTATATTTTCAGTTTTCGGCTAAATAAAATAAAAAAACTTTCAGTTTTGGTACAAAATATATTTCAGTGCATCACTAAACACTTATGAAATGTTTTCAAGATAATACAAACAAGTGTGTGTGATTACTTTGTGAATACTCCTCTCCCATCTGAGGTGGGTACTCCTCGTCCCAGTCCACCACGTCATCGTCTGTGAGCACAACTATGTGACACTCCCTCTCTCCGCTCTGAGCGCTTGCCACCATCAGAGGAAGCACCATCTCCTCGCAGAACACCTCAATCGCTTAGGAGTCATTCTTGTCTACATCAGCTCCGGCAGTGAAACAGTGGCAGACTGATGACAGCTCACTCAGGGCGGGTCTAAGGTAAGAC